TGGAGGATAAAGCGTCCAGTGTATACTGCAGTAGAGACAGCTGCGAGTGGTCGTGCAGTCCCGTCGGATTGGTGGTATTCGCTTGCGTCGTTAGACGGTGCGTCGCTACAGACTCAGCAATCATGGGGGATGCGGTAAGAACGAAAATTGGCCCCATAGTTTCTCTGTTCACTCCTGAGACACTTACCAGAGTTTCACTAATTTCTAATTCTTAGATACATATTTTAAATGTTATCTAGAAATTTGATATTTTGAACATGTTAGTAGTTTATGCCTGTTTAGCAGCAGACCAGCAACATTAAATAGGGTTGAAGGTAGGTCGTTAGGTGTATATGTGTGCGTAGGGGTAGGATAAAAGGAGGGGGAGGGTGAGGGAAGTGGCGGGGGGAGGATACTGAGAAAGAAGGAGGCGGGGCGTGGGAGGGGCGAGGACGGGTGTCTGTCAGGTGAAGATAGTGATCCGTGGTGTACGTCTCTCTAGAACATTGAGTCTGGATGAAGAGATTTAGGTATTGATGCTGGTGGTCGTATTGTGTTAATCTCGCTCCTGTGGATATGTGTGGGCGTGAGGAGGGATGAGTGAATTGTAAGAGAAGAAATTTATTCATGGTTACGGTTAGGGTTAAGTGTCGTAGTATCGTAAGACAGGGCAAGCGAGGGGGTAGACGGGTATGTTGGGAGCTGGGGGGGGAGAAGACAGGAAATAAGATGAATAAGAGAGGTAAGAGAGAAGGCGGAGTGCTGATATGTGAAGTGGGAGCGAGCAGCAGAGGAAGGGCTAGAGTAGGATTGGAGGGTGAGTAAGGAGACGTAAGGATGTAACAGAATGGGATGGTGGAAGTGTGTGTGGCAGGTGCGAATGGAAGGGCAGGTTGAGAAATCCGGGAAGAGTAGCTTAAGAGAAGAGAGAGCCAGGGAGAGAGAGTTGGCAGAAGAGAGAGAAGAATGTGATAAAGCCGAGAGTTGGCGCGATAGGTAGAGAGACGTGTACGAGAGAGGAGACGGTTTATAACCGGGTGGCAGTGTGGCCGTGGCGCGCGTGCTTATGGTGCCTAGTAGGCAGTAGAGAGTCAGGGACGTAGGACAGGGATGAGAGTGAGAGGATTTAGAGGAAGAGGGGGCGAGAGAGAGAGAGCGGAGGGAAGAAAGGGAGAGAGGAGAAATGTTGAGAGGAGAGAACCGAGAACTGGAAAGACCAATAGATAGGAGACGAATGCGTGCGGGAAGGTGCGGCGGGGCGACAAATTTGAAAGATTGCGGGTGACCTGGGGCAGAGGTTGCAGAAGAGGTCGATAGTGGCCGTGTTGCGGGCGTAGCAGGTGTGTGGTCCGGGATGTGGCTGCTCTTTCTAACTTTGCATCGCCCACAGTTACCATAGGTTCGATAGTAACTTCTTACAATCGCAGTAAGTTGACGGAGCAAATGAATCTTTCGCACGCGGGGATACGAGTTTTACATGTGCAAGTATTCTAGCGAGCGACCCTGGGAGACCGTTGTTATCACGCACCCTCTATAGCTCAGGAAGAGAGAGAGGAAGAGATCTTCGCATCCTCTGAGCTTACGCGAGAGAGAGAGACGAGACGAGAGAGACCGAGTTATGATTAAGGTGAAACGTAGAGATGCGAGTAGCAACGTCAGCTTTGTGAGCCATTTGAGTTTTTGCACATGCTCACCATTCTCCAGCACAATCGTGGTGAGTCTAATTACGCACGTCGCCCTTCCCGCAATATCAGCGCACTCCTCCCCACCATTAACTGCTCATGATATAGGTTTAACAGGTTCATAACGGCCATGCGAACTGCCGTTTTAGGTTTTATGTTAAGCGCTCTCGACGGTTCTTATTTACATGTTTCTCATATGCACCTGTCGTCGGTGCTCTCGGTTTCGCTCGTGCGGTCGTAGTGCGTGTGGTTAGTGTGTAGTGCCAGTGGCTCGGCATTAAAGATTGTGTTGCGACTCGTCGTGTGCTCGTCGATGCTGGCTCTCATCGTGTCGGCTCGTGTGCTGTGACCGAGCAGAGCGAGTGATATGCTCAGCAGCACACACGCGACCTGCTTGTGTAGTTGTAAGGGCATAATTGTTAAAGAGAGATTAGAATATAGAAAAAAAGAAATTAAAAAAATAAGAGTAGAGAAAAAGAAAAAAAAAAAATAAAAAAAAAAATAGAATAAAAGACATATAAAGAAAAAGAAAAAAAAAAAAAAAAAAAAAAAAAAAAATAAAAAGAAAGAAAAAAAAAAAAAATAAAAAAAAAAAAATAAGAAAAAGAAGAAAAAAAAAGAAAAAAATAAGAAAACTCAATAAAAAAAAAAAAAAAAAAAGATCAAGAAGAACTCTAAGAAAGAAAAAATAAAATGAAAATAAAAAGAAGAGAGAAAGAAAGAGAACGAAGTAAGAAAGAGAATACATAATTACAAGATAACGCAGCGATAGGAAGATAGAAAGAGGAGAGAGAAGAGTAGAAGGGAAAAAAGAGAGAGAAGAGAGGGAGTTAAAGAGAAAAAGAGAGAACACGAGGCCGGCACTTGTGAGGAGCTGCGAATTCTTATAGAGTTGGGTTTATGATCGCTACTGGGGAGATATCACATGGAAGCTACAGCGCAGTCGCTGGTGCGGGCGGACGACTCGCGCGACGATGAACACTCAGAACAGGCTAGCTGAAAGACCGAGTAGGGAAACGGTGAGGTGGAGATGATTAAGAGAGCCAGCATTTGCAGCTGTTATATTGCTTATCGACTCCTGTCCGTGCGTGATCCGGTCTGTGTGATCATCGGAGCCGAGAGATGAAGAAGAGGGATGCAGAAGTGCGAGGTAAGAGCCGTGCGCGCTGCACGATAGATCTCAGTATACTAGTCACAGTCAGAGGCGGTTGTTTGAGATAGACCCAGCATAAGCTTCTCAGCGATATGATGTTTTAGTGAGATCAGCAGTAGACTAGAATGACAGAGATGCTAGTGTGTGAGACGAGAATCTAGCAGTCTGCGAGAGAATACAATAGTAGCATAAGGCAGGATGATTACGAGAGAGTATCTCGCTTACGACGATGAGGAGTAAGTAAAGCGCAGATTGTACGCACAGCTACGAGGAGGCTCGAGATGGCATATAAATGACTGAGAGTATCCGTTTCGTCATTCAAAGCAGGACGAGAGAGACATCGATAATGGTAGGAGACAGAAGCGCAGCCGAGATCTTGATCGACTACGCATGCGCTGTGCGTCGCTGCGTGCGCTGCGTCGCGATCGCTGGGAGAGTGTGAGTGTCGTGTACGAGACGGCAGTAGTCGACTGTCATGGCTTGCAAGAGTATCGTTAACTCCGACTGCGACAGTTGTTCGGTGTCGCAGTCGACTCTCGTGGCAATGCTCCGCGACGATGGCCAGCTCACTCACAATGACTATGCGCCGTGGCTCGTCCGTGATTACCGACTTTGGCAAGCCAGAATGACGACTTATTACCTGCCTCACTGCTCTCCTCTCTCTGCTCTCTCTCTCTCTGTGGACGCTCTCTCTCTCTCCTCACCTATGTTTCTCTTCCGTAAATCTCTCTCTGCTCTCTCTCTCTCTCTCTATCTCGCCCTTCCTTCTCCTGTCTTTCTGTATCTCTCTCTCTCATCTCTCTCTCTTTCTCTCTCTCTCTCTCTCTTTTCTCTCTGCTCTCTGTCATTCTATCTATGCTATCTATCATATCTTAAAAACTACTATCATATCTATCTATCATATCTACTATCTATCTATCTCTCATCTCTCTCTCTATCTCTCCTCTCTCTTCTCTCTCTCTCTATCTAATCTATCTAGCCCTATTATCTGTACACTCTCGCTCTCTCTCTCTCTCTCTCTTTTCTCTGTCGCTCTCTTCTCTCTCCCCTCTCCCCCTTTCTCTCTCTCTCTCTGTTGTCACTCTCGCGCGCACGCCTTTTCGTTCTCTCTTTCTCTCTTCAGCGCGCGCCGCTTTTCTCTCTTTCTTTCTTTCTCGCTTTCTTCCTTCCGCTCTACTTCACCTTTACCATATATCCCTCTACTGCTGTTTCTTACTCTCTCTCACACAAACACACACACAACACACACACACACACACACACACACACACACACACACACACACACACACACACACACACACACACACACTCACTCTCTCTTCTTCTTCTCTCTCTCTCTCTCTCTCTCTCTCTCTCTCTCTCTCTCTCTCTCTCTCTCTCTCTCTCTAAGAGTGTCTCATCCTCTGTCTCTAACTTCTCTCTTCCAGTCATTTGTCCTCAATCTCTAGCTTCTCTCTCTCTCTCTCTCTCTCTCTCTCCGTCTCTCGTCCTCTACCTCTAGCTTTCTCTCTCTCTCCCAGTCTTAGGCCCTTTATCCCTAGCTTCTCACTTTCTCCCAGTGTCTCATCCTCTATATCTACCTTCTTACCCGCTCACAGTGTCTTATCCTCAATCTCTAGCTTATCTATTTGTCTTCCAGTCTCTCGTGCTATACCTCTAGCTTTCCTCTCTCTCCCAGTTGCTCGTCCTCTATCTCTAGCTTCTCTCTCCCAGTCTCTCGTCCTCTATCTCTAGCTCCTCTCTCCCGGTTACTCGTCCTCTATCTCTAGCTCCTCTCTCCCGGTTACTCGTCCTCTATCTCTAGCTTCTCTCTCCCAGTCTCTCGTCTTCTATCCTTGGCTTCTCTCTCTTTCGCAGTCTCTCGTCCTCGCTCTCCTGCTTTCTCGTGAGCGAGCGCTTCCCGGATCCTCGGCTGCGCGCTTACGTCATAGCTAGATTTGGCGGCAGCCATGCGCGGCAGCGGTCACATCGACGACTGATGCAGTCAGTGACGTCAGCACGCGCATGCCTGCCGAGTCATAATGACATTCCTCTTCCCGATGTAAGACTTCAGGGTTTCAGCATCACGAAGAGATTCTGGCGGTGAAACTGCTCCGGTTATATCCCCGGTGATTGCATGGCGTGATGCTGCTGCTGCGCAATGACGCCGGTGCGTAACCAACGGCTACTTGCACTTTATTACAGAGTGACGATGAAACAGCCGGACGTCGAGAAACAGGAAGAGAATGGCGCGCGGGACGACGGGAAGTCATCCTCGCAGCGGCACCATCGGCATCCTTCCAAGAAGAAGATAATGGATAGGAAGGAGACGAAGAAGAAAACATACGTATCGCTCATCATCAAATACTTCATGTTCTTCAGCAACTTCATATTCTTGGTGAGTAGCGAGCGATGCGTTGTCAGGACTAAACACGAAAGTGAAACTTTTTGCGCGCTCGATGGCAAGAAACCCATGGTCCCATTTACGATCCATATCGATGCGCGTTTGTCATCAGACAACTCGAACACATCTCATCACTCGGTGATAAGAGATGTGTAGATTTTAATTTGTCGGCGTATGTAATACTACTACAGTACGTATGGTGTAAGATTCGTAATAGTATGCGAAATAGAAAGTGAGTGGAAACTCGAGTGTCGATGTAGGCAGAACTAGAGAACTATGGTGCCCAATTTTCGTTTACGCATCCATGTATGTTGATTTAGGTTGGCGTTTCGGCAAATACACAAGTCCTGACGGATTACTGTTTCTTCTTTATACACTGCTTTTACTCATACGTCATCGGGAATTATACTGATGGTAGCAGCAACATCCATTACTCAGTGTTAGTGAGAATAATAATATAGCAGTAGCAAACGCAGTCCCTGAGTAGTATAGAATACGCACTCGCAGTAGCGACGACAATAGCTGTTACAGTAGCAGTAATTGTGTCAACAGCAGTAGTTGTATCATGCTAGCAGTAGATGTTGCAGAGGCAGTAGTAGCCGCATCAATAATAGCACCCCCCCCCCTCCTCCCCCTAGGCAGTGTTTTTAAGAACGCGTAACATTTGACATAAAGTCGACGAATCGTTACAAAATGCGACGGAGCTCTATCCAAAATCCACGTGCAGACTATATGCGCGAATATCGGAGGTACCTCATGCATCCTCCGCTCCACCTCATCCTAGTACAGGGATAAATGCGACATATATCGCATTGCCCTTTCAGATGCGGCTACAAATAGATGGCCTAATCCAGGAGCGTGATATTCATATCACACACAAAGACATACACGCGCGCACACACACACACACACACACACACACACACACACACACACACACACACACACACACACACACACACACACACACACACACACGACTATATATATATATATATATATATATAGTAGTACGTACGTACGTACGTACGTACGTACGTACGTACGTAACGTAAGTAATAATAA